TCGAGCAGGTTCTCATCATTTGTATTGTCTGCTTTTGAGAAACATCTGCTCCTTTCTTGGCCTATTGTTGATCTGGGCTCTTTTTTTTTTTAACTGTTTAGACACAACTTTTAAAAGCAGTAACAGTAGCAGCACCAAGAGGTATTCAGAGGGTGGAGTGAGTGAGTGAAGAAGGAAAGAAGTGAGCGAGGAGGGAGAGGCATGATGGGGAGGAGAGCAAGTTAGGATGTCTAAAGGGCGCAGTAAGGTTGACTCAGCAAATGCTTATGAGCACCTACTGTGTGCGGATGCTTCCCCAGGTCTACACCCGGGAGACCCAGGCCCTGCACCAGCCTCTGCCCCCTCCAGCTGCCCATGTGGCTTCCATGAGGCAATGCTGGCAGTTGTTGAGCCCATGGGCTCTGTGGTCAGACAGCCTGGGGTTTGAATGAGTTTGGATGGGCACATGACTTGGTAGGAAAAATGAAGCAGGAGATAGCACAGAGACCCATGTTGGGGTTAGCTAGAGCAGCTGCCCTCTTTTGTGATGGCCACCCTGCCTTCCCTTCCACTCTGCTCCAGAGATAGCATCTCCAGGGGACCCTACAGCCCTGTGTTGTGTGAACAGCTGCTTACGACCACCCAGTGTCCTGCCAAGGGCCAACAGTCTCTGAGGAGTGGGCTCCCAGTGCTGGGAGGGGCATGGAGGCAAGGCCAGGATGGCTGGGAAAGGTTGAGAAGGGTTTCTTGGACACAGAAACTGCAAAAGCCAGGCCCAGGGAGGGGACAGCTGCGGCCATTTAGATCTCCGGGTTGCTATTCCAGTGCCACTTTCACAGTAGAAGGCCCGTCTGGTCCCCTGATGCCCATGCCAGCGGCTGCTCTCACACTTGGCCTGGCACTTGGGAGGGGCTGTCCTTGAGCACAGCTGAGCCCAGTCTAGTGAACTGACATGATTTCCATTTCTTCTTGATCCCCCCTGATATGTCAGCCTGGGGCTGAGGACAGAATCTTTGGGCGCCAGGGCAGGTGCTGCCGCTCCGTGGCTCCCAGGCCTCATTACACAGATAGCAGGCATTCAGGTCTTGCTCATCACAGAACCCCCAGAGCAGGGGTAGGACCCTGGGTTCTCTGGCTTTCTCAGGACCTGGCTTACCAGAGGACAGTGGCAAGATGAGGGCGCAGGACAGCAGGCTGTTCCTGAGGGCCTGAGCGTAGGGTGGCCCTCCAGGGGTGCTGGGCTGGAAGCCCGACAGGCATAGCAGGTCATGACTCACTTGGGAGCCATGAGCCTGGAAGAGCACGCTGGGCCTCATGGGACATTTCCAGAAACCTGGACAGAGCAGCCCTGGTCATGCTGAGGGCACGGAACAGGGCCCCCAAGAGGACAATCAGGACACTGCATCTTAGTAATCCTAGTAAGGACCCAAGTGTTTACCGGAGGACCACCACAACCAGGGCTCTCTGTGCATTGTCCCGCCTGGTGCTTTCAACAGCTGTGTGAAATGATTGCTGTTTCCTTTTATGGAAGAGGAGGCGAGAGGCCCAGAGATGCTGATTAAGTCTCTTACCCAAGGCGACTCAGAGGTGGAGCCCAAATTCAAACCCTCCTCAACAGCCAAAGAGTCCCTGTGCATGGGGCCGAGTGACTGGTGCAGCAGCTAGGGAGGGCGCTGGGCGGACAACCACTCCTGCTCTCACATCCCCATTTGGTGTCTTGGTGTCCCTGGGCCCTGCTGCTATATACCTGGAACACACAGCCACCCTCCCCACTCTGGGCCTGGTGCCCCACCCCAGCAGTGCCACCCCACCCCAATAGATTTTGCAGCTTTCCCCACCCTAGGCTGGGCTTAGGGCTGTGGTGGCCCAGGGGGAGGGCTGCAACCCATGAAGCCAATAAAATTGGGTGTGACTGAGCTGACCTTCCTCTGGGCTCCCTCCCCCCACCTCCCCGCAGGGCCCAGGCCTGGGCACTCTTCTCCTCACATCCCTCCCTCAGTTTAAGGCCTGTCTGAAGCCATAGCCAAGCTCTGGGGTTGGCTTTGTGAGGACCAGGTGAGAAGAGAGCTGCTAGCTGTTTCTGGTGGTGGTGGGGCCTCCCATCTCTGCACATCAGGGCTCTGTGCAGGGCTTTGGGGGCTCATCCATGAGCAGAGTGCCCTCGGGGCAGTAAATGTTCAAGACAAAAGATGGGGCTACTGCTTCCAGAGCAGGCATCTGGGTGGCCGGTCAGGGTGCCCACTTGCCTAAGCAGGATTCCCCTCTGTCCTTTTTCTGGGCACTGCCTGCCCTTAGCTTTGTCTGCAATGTCATATACATCCCTATTTGTTTGCTTGTCAAAGACATTTGAGACTGGGACCCTGTCTGCCCCTGCTCCATCCCTAACACCAGCAGCAGCAGAGGACCGGGAGCCAGGGTCCCTCCCCTCATCCTCTGCAGGCCTGGAACTGTCCTGCATTTTTGCACAAAGGACTTGGCTTTGAGAACCCCCTGCTGTTCCGCAGCCCCAGTAGATCCCACCCCCCAACAGCAGCCCTGGTGCAACCTTGCAGGCCAGCCTTATAGTAGCTGGGTAGGTATGGCAGCAGGCTGGAGTTTGGCACTCACCTGTTGGGCCTTGGGTGGTGGGGGTCGTCCTGGAACTGCTTCCTGGCCCTCCACTTGTCCCCAGTCACTCCCCAATCTCCTGCCCCAGGGGAGGGGGTTGGCCCACTGTGAAGAGTCTTCCTCTCTGCCGCCCACTCTTTCCCAGCTCCACCTCCCTCTAGGTCTCCCCAGCCTCCTGCCCTCAACTGAGACCAGGGCCCCCAGGCAGATGTGTGAGGCTGGGGGAGGCACTCTAAGTCCAGATGTAATTGTGTTTATGTTTCCAGAGAGTGAGGGGTCGCAGCTCTGTACTGGAGCCTGGAGCCATTGGGGGAGGGGCGGTCTGGCTCCAGCTCCCTGCCCAGCCTCCAGCCCTTTCCAGTCTGTGTCTGGCTCTGCCCCATCTCAGAACCCCATAGACTTGAGCCTGGCAGCCACAGACTTGTCCATTCTTGGCCAAGGATCCCTCTTCATGCTGCAATGCCCTGCTTTGCAGGATCCAGGCCTTGGCACAGTTAAGAGTCCAGGACCCCAGCCCCGTGTGCCACACAAGGCTGACACTACTGACCCGGGAGGCAGTGCTGACCTGGTTTAAGATAGCATGTGTACAGGGCTCTCCAGCTATTAGCTCATGACTAAGCCTGTGGCCCTGCCCCACTCCCAGCCAGGGCTTGCCTGGGTCCAACTCTGGGGTAGTGCCAATCCCCATCATAAGGTGATCCTCAAGCGGCACCTCCACCCCTCCTCCCTCCCCCGCTGCAGCTGCAAACATTTTGTTTTGCCATTAGAAGTGACCGACTTAAGGGAAGCAGAATTTTACAGGCAGTTTACAGGCTGGTCTCCTTCAGTAGTTCCCAACAGCCTAGAGAGGGCGGAGGCAACCGGCAGCCCCCTGTGAGCCGGGATGGAAAGCAAGTGAGAAGTGAGTCCTATGAGAAGGACACTTTCTCCCCACACGGCCCCACACCCCTGGGTGGGACTCGGCATTGATGGGGGGCAGAGGGAGAGGGAAGGTAGAGGGAGGCCCTGCTAGACACAGGGGTCCCCAGCCCCTTCAGGTTTCCTGTGACAGCCAGGATTAGGCTTCAAGGTTGGGAAAACGGTCCACGGAGAAACGGCCATCCCCCGGCGTAACAGTGCCCAGCAAGCACGGGTTCCAGCACCCTGGAGACCTTGAGGGGTCTCTGCAGGGGCTGGGAGGGAAATGGGCCCAGGACAACCGAACTCAGAACGCCTCACGGTGTCCTCAGTGGAGCCTGAGCTGACCAGTTCAGGAATTCGGGTGGGAGGGTTCTACTGGGGGCTGCTTTTTTCCCTCCCTCCCGCGTGCAGGGTTTGGGACCCAGGGGTGGCACAGATCCCATTTCTATCTGCTTCCCTCTTCGGCCGAATGAAGCAGGCAATACTCGGCAGTGCTTAGCACGCTCGGACTATGGTTTTAATAGACGTACATGGACAAGTCGATATAGACAGATTTATAATTCTATAGTCAGTCCGACATACACAGGGACGCTGTAAACAGGGGCGCGGGCCAGAGAGCGGGTGTGCAAAGTGGGCGCAGAGGCCCTGGGGCCGCGCCCCGCGCTCTTCGGCTCCACTCTTGCATGGCGGGCGGTGCGGATAAGGGATAGGGGGGCAGGGCTGTTCGCCAGGACTGGGGGCTTCTCTAGGCACGGGAGCGGGGCAGAGGGCCTTCAGCTAAGCTCTCGGGCAAGGGCGCTCTGCGACAAGCCCTCCCCTGCCTCCCGCTTAGTCCGCGCGGCCCGCCGGGGCTCCAGAGCCTTACTATACGACTCTGCGGCTCGCTTGCGGCCAGCTCAGCTGGGCTTCGGGCTCCGGTGCGAAGCGGGGCACCAAGGCCGCTGCCGTCGCGTGCGGCTCCACGGCGAGCGCCCGATCCCGGGTTGGGCACCGTCATCCCGGCTCAACGTCCGCTCCAACTCGGATCCGAATCGAACTAAGGTGCGCTCGGCCCGGTCAGCTGGGAGGGGATGTCTCGGGTTGTGCGTGGCCCGGGATCCCAGGCGTGTCCGAGTTCCGGGAACGTCCAGTTTGTGGTCGCTCAGTCTGGGTCCAGCACGGCGCAGACGCGCGGGCTGCCGCGGCGGGCGTCCTCTCCGGGCCGCCGGCCTCGGCGCTCGCTTCCCATGTTCCCCTCCACCGAGAGGGCCGCCGGGCCCCGTGGGAACGAACGCACTCCACCCGCGCGCCATCCCAAGGGAAATTGCAACTCATCCATATATATATATTTTTTTCTTATTCGCGGCGCATTCCTCCGACCTTTTTTTTTTTTTTTAGATTTTTTTGCTTCGTTTCTTTGTGGAGGGCAGAGTGGGATCCGGAAAAGCAAACACAAAACGAACCCGGAGGTGGGAAGGTGGGGAGGGGCTGCGCGGGCTCGAGGTCCACCCGCGTGCGTTCTGCCCCGCCCCGCGTGGCCGGCCGGGCGGTCAGCTGTTGTACTGGCACGCGTTGAGGCCTGAGGCCGGGCCCTGCAGGCCGCCGTAGCCAAACGACGAGTGCTGTTTGGACTTGAGCCGCAGGCTGGCCAGGCTCGAGTTGCACGTGTCCCGGTAGACGCTGTAGGGCGAGGCGGGGGTGCCGTACGGACAGGCGCCGGGGGACATGGCTGAGTTGAGCGAGGAGCCGGTGAGGTTGTTGATGTTGTTGAGGCCCGAGTTGGGCATGCCGGGCACGGCGCCCGGGCCCATGCTGGACGGCATGGTCATGGAGGAGATGGAGCTGGGGGCCGAGAACATGGACTGCGACGACAGCGGGCTCATGGAGTTGAAGAAAGTGAAGCTCTTGGTGGAGAGCGGCGCGGGCGCCAGGCTCTTGGCCGCCCAGTTGTTGTAGGAGTAGCCGGCGGCGTACACGTCCTCGTAGGGCTGCACCAGGCCGCTGAACTGCGGCACGTAGCCGCCCTTGCACAGGTCCAGCTGCTGGTTGCGCTCGCGCTTCCGCCACTTAGCCCTCCGGTTCTTGAACCAGACCTGGGGTAGGGAAAAGGCGGGGAGCGTAAGAAGGGTCAGGGTCGGTGCGGGCGGGCGGGCAGGACCCCTTCACCCCTAGCTCGCCGCCGCACGCCCTGCTCACCCGACTCGTCTCCTTTCTTCCACCGATATTTCCGCCCCTGCCTTCTCCCTGTAATGGTCCCCTTCCTGTCCCCAGAAAATACTTGGTCTCCCCCTCCCTTTTCCGATCTTTAGCCTCTTCCACAAATTAAATCCGTTTTTTCCCCCTAACAAGCCTTCTCTTTTTAAAATTTCGTTTTGAACAAATACTGTTTCCTTTGTCGCCTTCTCAAACTCATCCACCTCCTGCCTTCTCCCTTAAACGGGTCCCAGTGTCTTCGGATATTTCATTCATTTTTCTTCCCTCAAATACAAAAAAGGTATTTTTTTTCCTTACTAAAACCTACGGCTCTCCTCCGAGTAAAGCCGCCTGTTTGCATCTTGAAGGGCAAAATTCGATATTTTCGTTTCCCAGATGTTTGTTTTCCTCCGGTTCGCAGGGCTATCTGAACCTGCTTCTTCGCCCTTAAGCAGTCTATTTTTGCTTTACCCCCCATTTTTGATCCTTTTGATTCTTCTCCAAATATTTAGTTTCCCCCCCTTCATTCCAAATATCTGGCCTTCACTGTTTCTCTTAAATAGTTGATTCTTTCTTTTCACAAATACCTGATCTCTATGCTTCTCCTTTAAATATTTAATTTCTTCCTACTGCCTAAATATATGCCAAATATGTTTCTTTGCAAATATTTAATTTCCTTTCGCTTCTTACTCATTTTTCTCTAATCCCCTCTCCCTGTTTTCTCTCACAGAATTTGGTGAAGACCCTCCCCCCCTTCCACTAACTTCTTGGTTACCCACATCCTCACCTATCCTCGCTGCCCACCCCCACGGTCCTGGCTGTCCTGGACCCTCTCCGATGCCCGGCCGGCAGGATCCCGACCCTAGCCCCAGCTCCTCGCCTGCCTAGGGAGGGACTCCTGTAATGGCGGGGTGTGTCTGTGAGGGGGTGTCTGTGGGCCAGCCCCAGGCTCCTGGGAATCTGGGGCGATCTGTGATCCCCGTCCAGTGGAGGAAGAGTTTGTAATATTCTCCTTCTGTTCTGGCATTTCCTGGGAACCCAAAGGGTAGGAAGGGGGAGGCCTGGGGGGCCACTAGGGCCAGCTCCCCACCTGACCCAGAACGGGCGGCGGGCAGAGGGTCCTGCAGCAGACAGGTCCAATGTTGCCGGAGGGCGGTGGAGGGGGTGACGCGGGCTATCCTGATGGTGGAGACTTGGGGTGCAGAATGGGACCCCTGTGCTGAGACTCTGAACCCTGGCAACCTTTCCTGCACCGCTCCTAAGCTGCCGGGCAGGACCTGCCTTTCCCTTTCGTTTTCGAGGGGGAGAGAGCGGCTCCCAAAGGCAGAGTCCTTAGCTCCCGGCCTGGCTCAGGGTATCCCGCTCAGATCCCGGTGGATCCTGGCTCTACAGGGCATCCAAGGGTCCCACTGGGGCCTCAATAAAGCAGGCGTGGTGGTGGAATTGGAAAGAGGGGGTGGGAAGCCGCAGCCAGAGAGGGTACGGGTGGCCTAGGTGCGAACACGGATGCCTTGCTACGAGTACCCGTCCAGTGCGGCTCTCAGCTCTCCCCGGCTGCCTCACCCGCACGCGCGGCTCGGTGAGGTTGGTCCACACGGCAATCTCCTCCCGCATGCTCATGTCGGGGTAGCGGTTCCTCTGAAACGTGGCCTCCAGCTCCTGCAACTGCTGGCTGGTGAAGTGCGTGCGTTGCCGCCGTTGCTTCTTCTTCTTGGCAGGGTCCTCCGTGCCACCACAGCCCGCGCCGCTGGCACCGCTGTCCTCGGGCCCCTTAGGTTCGCCGCCGCGCTCCTTCTCTGTAGCAGGCAGGATGGAGTGCAAGTCACCTCGGGCCAACGCACCGCGGCACCCGTTCCCGGCTCCACCGAAGTGCGGGCCACGGGCGCCGGCGGCCCTACCTCCCGCTAGGGGCTCTGCGAATTGTGCCCGAGAAGAGAGAGGCCCGGGTGGCCAGCTGGGCCAGCCGCGGAGAGCAGGAGCGGCAGCTTTCGGACCCGGGTGCCTGGCGGGCAAGGCCTGCTCCTCGGCTCTCGGCCCTCGGGCCCTGCTGGCTCCTGTCAGCGGCTGGTGCTTGAGCTTTTCTCTCGCGGAGGAAGGGGAATGGTGGAGCTGGGGCGGGGGCGGGGGTGTCTCTGTGCGGACTGAAAGCGATGATTCCTGCCCGAAAACCAGCCCGAAAACCCGAAACCCGTGGCGGGCCGGACAGGAGTCTCCGGCACTGCCTGCTGCCCGTGACCGCGGGGGCGCACCCGGCAGGGCGGCTAGCATTCGGGCCTGGGCCTCGGTCCTAGAAAACCTGCTGCCTGAACAAACCCTGGGCGATTTGGAACTTTCTCGCCTTGGTTTCTTGAAAGCTCCGTGTAGGCATTGACACCGAAAGAAAAAGGAATTTTAAAATCCAAACACAGAAGCCCGGAAACGCTCAGAGCTCTTTGCCCGAAATTTATCAGCCAAGAGTTGCAAATCCTCAAAAAAGAGACTGGTAGAGCAAATGTGAACCAAGCAGCCAGCACCCTCCGGACCAACATACCCCTTAACTGCGCCCTGGGCAGACTCCGGGGCTCATTTCTCCAGGATTTGTTTTTGTAAATCAATGTACAACCCGATGTAAAAGTAGATTTTTAACTCCGTTCCAATAACGCCCTGGCAGGGATCAATTTTTTAAAATTCCAGGGAAACACTCTAGTATGATCATTTGAATTCCCAACATAACATTGCTTTAAAATGAATTTTAAGAAAAGTCCCAGAGAAATGCGCCATTTTGACTATATTTTTAAAAAAAATCTCACAAAGAATAATGTTGCAGGTTAAGTAATTTTAGTTCCAGGAAATTTTTGCACCTACAATATTCTTCCAAGTTTGGAAAAAAAAAAACACGGATGCAATGAAAACGGCTCATTCACCCTCACCAATTTGACTTTAAAAATCAACCGATACTATGTATTTCTCTGGGCTGTAGGAAGTAAAGTCCAGCCGAGTCCCCTGCTTAAATCCTGACACAAAAGCCTGGTCCAGCGCTGACTGCATTTTAAAAAAGCACACCAATCCGTTTCAAAGAAACCAGCAGCATGCCGCCACTCAAAACTCACGGGGTCTCACCCGCGGCTGGGAACCAAGAAGCCTACCTAGCAGAAGCGCTCACCACCCGCACAGTTTGGAGCTTGGTGGCGGCAAAGCCGAGGGGCTCCAGAGGTGCCTGGAGACCCGCGCACCAAACTGGCCTGCAGCCCTTGGACAGAAAAGCATCAGCGCGGAGAGAGTCCAGCCGGGCTGTACTGGCCGCTCGGCCTGGGGATTGCGGGCGGCAGCCGCACACGTGGGCCGGCGGGATCCCTTCCTCTGGGTTCAGCCGCACCCCTTGGTCCGCGCTCTTTTCCGTGGAGCTGCTCCCACCCCCCAGTCCTGGACTATCCCTCGCACCCGCCTTTTCTCGTTGGCTGCTCCCGGAGCAGCAACGATCTGCAACTCTCTCTCTGGGTCCAAGTGCCTTCTCTGCGCCCCTTCGAGCAAACCACTCCCCAGGTCCTCGGCAACCCACCATCGCAGGCTGGTGCAACTGCCAGCCTCCCGCGTGCTAGCACTTTCCTGTGTGTGCGTATAAATTTCCGCGTTCACAATCGGCTTGAGAAAGGGGGAAAAAGAAAGTTCCCAATGGTCCCATGGCAGCACTGGCGCCTGGGCCTGTTCCCTGCACCCTGTGAACCTGGCCATTCCACGCGCCGCGCTTACCTGGCAGCTCGGTGTCAGACGATTCGCTGGCCGAGTTCTCGAGCGGCTCGCGGGGATCTGCGGTGCGGGCCAGGTGGAAGGCCGGCCCCAAGTCATGCGGTGGTGGTGGCGGCGGCCGGAGTCCCTCCGGCAGCCGCTCCAAGCTCATGCCCCCCTTGAAGGCGTCCATGGAGGTGGGGACCGTGGCGGGCGCTCCAGGGGCCGGGGCTCGGTGCGCCCGGTTGCCCTGGCTGCCACCTGCGGATAGGGACAAGAGTGCAGCGCCTAAGCGGCTGCCCCCAAGGGCTGCCCGGGCCCGCAGGGACGCCGTGCCCGCCCCATGGGCCGCCAGGGACTGGCAGGGCCGGGCGGGCAGCGGCGGCGGTGGCTGCTTCTAGCTACCCGGCGGCTGGCTTCGCGCTCCGCTCCGTGCTCTCGCCGCTCGGGCCTCCACCGCCAGCCCGGCCCCGGCTCCGGCTCCCGATCCGGGGCCGGTTTCTAAGGCTCCGGACGGCTCCGACAGAGTCTGTCTTAAAGCGACAGTGCGCACCGCCAGGTTCCAGCAGTCCCTGCGCCAGGGGTGGTGGGTGGGGTGGGTCCGGGTGGGAGGGGGCTGGGGAGGGAGGGCGCGAGCAAGCAAGCAGGCGAGGGCGCACGGGCGGAATCCAGCCCCGAGCCGCCCCGCTGCCGCGCCCTCCCAGCCTCCCCGAGCCCTCCCTCCGCAGCCACCTTCCCGCCGCTCCCCGCCCCCCGCGGCCTCGCCGCGCCTCCCTCTCCTTCCCCGGTGACACACCGCTCTCTCCCTCGGCCGCACAAAAGAGACGCATCTGGCCCTGCAAGTCCCACACGGCTCGTGCCCACCTCGGGTCCCCTCCCCTTCTAAGTCTCCCGCTTTAGTAACTTGTTCTGTACTCAGTCAGCTCCTGCCTGGGGCAGCTTCGAGGTCCCCAAGCCCCCAGCGGGAACAGTCCAGGATGAGCGCGCGTGTGTGCCGCCAAGAAGCCTGGGCAGCCTCCCCGTGGTGTCCCCGGCCAGAGGCCACCGGCCCCTCCTTCCCCGTCTCCTTCTCTGGGGAATCCAACCGGCTGAATGACAGCAGCTTGAGCTCTAATGGGTCCCCGGATGCTGCCTCCTAATTAGCTTGGACCCTCTCCCCTAAGGCTACTTTTTCGGGCCTCCCTCCCTGCACCGCAGTCAATTTTCCGGGATTGGGATAGAAATGATGGCTTCTAATCAGACGAAACATTTTCTTTTGACTTTCCGCGGCCGCTGGCAAGTGTGGCGGGAGACCCCCAGGAGCCCAGCCAAGGCCTTTTCTACTACCTCTGCACCTTGTTTTGCATCTCCCGGGACCTCTGCCCTTCTCTAGGGCGGCTTTAACCGGCGCCTGGAGCCTGCACTACAGCGGTCCAAGGTTTCGGGTGCCTGCTGTGCTCCCCCACTCTGTCTAGTGCGGTGCGGTGGAGGGTGAGGTAGGGGGAATAAGCAGCAGCGCCAGGAGCCCCGGCTGGCCCGCTGGCTGGCACAGGCAAAGGCAGCACCCTCTTCACTTCACTCCCTTTGGGTGTCCTTGCGCCTCCGTGAAGTTTGTGGAAGGATTTCGTTCGACAATTGTTAACTGGCCTCCGGGACCTGGGCGTCTTGAACAAACAGGCTACAGCATGGCCCTGACCTGCTCCTCTGACCACAGGTGGACCCTGGGCTGCCCTCTGCCCCTCACCTGCTGACCAGCTCGCCTAGCCTTAGCAGCTAGAGAGAGCAGCGCTGGGCAGGCCAGCTGCCCAGTAGACAGGCACCGCTTGCTTCTCCAGGCCTGGGGCTCCGTGTGTCCTCATCTGCTGGGGCCTCTGGTTGCCACAGGACGGACTGTGGGTGCCCGTGTCTGGGCCACTGGGCAGACTCTTCCTTCAAGCCCTCCCCATCTCCCCACCTTCATTAGAGGGAGGCACCCAGGCCCCAGGGTGAACTCCTGGGTGCAAGGGCAGCCAAGCAGGGTGCTGCTCCAGGCCTGGCCCACTGTCACCAGCGCCTGTGACTCTGGGAGGCTGGATCTGGGGCGGGGTTCTGAACCAGGGCACGGTTCTGAACCAAGACACTTGCTACTTGGTGTGGGAAGGCTCTTGTCCTTTTCAGCTGAGAGTCCCTGGACCCAGTTAGGTTGGGTACAGGGGAGAGGACCGCTGTGGGATATGGGGAGTGCAGTTCAAAGTTTGCCACCAGCTCCACCTTTGATAGCATTTCTAGGCTGAGTCTCCCTCCACAGCAGATAGTTCCCATAACCAGGTACCAGCGAGTGCCCCTTCCCACACCATCCTCAGTCTAGAAAGAGCAGACCAGAGCAGTCCTGATGCAGGCAAAGCTCGGAATGTGTGCACACACTCTGTACTAAAAAACGCACACTTGTGTGCAGTTTGGTCTAAAAGCTGGCTGTTAGGAGGAAGCATGTTCTAAACCTGCTGAGGGTCAGGCCAGTGTAGGACACACAGAGCATCTTGGGGCAGTAAGGCACAGAAATGAACGGTTGGGCCAGCGAGCATCCAGAGGGTGGGGGGTCAAGTCCTCCCTGAAGAAGGAAGATTGTAATTTTGTAACTTCAGTGCCAGCTACCGAGTCCCTTGTGGGCTGTGTCACTGTGGATACATTGAATACAGTTGGTGAGCACCTGCTGTGTGCCCCTCTGAGCTGGAACCCCCGACAGAGCTTCAGGCAGGCAGAATGCTCTTTATTTGGAAATCTCAATGCCCGCTTGTTTGTTCGGATGATCAAGCCCACTGCTCTTTGTGGATGAAGTCCTGCTGTGCCTGGTTGGTCCCTTAGCCCTAAGGGGCTGAGGCTAGTGGGGGCTGCCCTGGGGAGTCAATGCTGCTGGGCTTGGACAGCCTTGAAGGGACAAGGAAGTGGCTGGTGGTGGCTGTGGTCCCTAGGCTCCGCTGGGAAAGGACTTGGACCATGCTTTCTTCCTCCTTAGCTAGGTCATCCTCCTGCTACCCTCTGTCCCAGTGCCAATAGGGTCTTCCTTTCTTCTCTCTCTCTCTCTCTCTCTCTCTCTCTCTCTCTCTCTCTCTCTCTCCCTCTCTCTCCCTCTCCCTCCCTCTCTCCCTCCCTCCCCCCAGCAGACAGAATAGAGGTGTTTTGTGGCCCAGCTTTGCTGTGTGACTTTGGGTATGGCTTGACCTCAGTGGGACTTTGTGCCTGTGCTTCAGGAAAGGAAGGGAAGGGGCTTACTGGAGCAGGACCCACGTGCATGCCCTATTCCCTATCTCTTTCCAGCCACAGGAAGTCGGCAAGAACTCTGCCACTTCCAGAAAAAGTTGGTGTTTAGGGTCCAGACAGGGCTGAGCAGAAAAGCCAAGGAAGGCCCTCCCCCCTTCCTCCCCACCCCCCGCTGTGGGGGATTGGGAGTTGGGGTTGCAAGACACATAAGACCTGCTTCTGAAGCTGGGCTCCCTCAAAAGCCCCAGACCCAGGACACTATGTCTATCCGTGGTTCAGTGATTAAATTTGCGGAGGGTCATTGGACAGGCTTCACAGGACATCCTGCCACCCACCCATGGGGGCACCCTTCTATAATCCTTACTCCCAGGACCGGGGGATTTTAGGAAAAAGGAAGGAATGTACTGTGGCCTGCCCCCAGGGCCATCCGTGGCTCTCCGGGACATTCCAGTCGTAAGCCTCTTAGGCCGTGGAGAAGTTCAAACTAGAAAACCCAGTTTTGGGAGTAGAGCGGAGACCACCTACCTCCTCCTGCCAGATCTAATGCCCCCTCCCCAATAAAAGCTCTTGTTTCCAGAATATGGGCAATTATGGGGACAGGGAAGCACTAACCTCTGTGGACTCTTGTGTCCACCCAGGGCCCCAATCTGAGACTCATTTGGGGGTGTGTGGGGGGCATCCTGTCCTGAGAGGGCCAAGGTGCAATCCGATAGGATGGCTGCTGTGGGGTACAGCCAGTGAGTGCTGGGAGCTGCTGTCAGGGCCCCTCGGTCTCAGGGGCCCTGGTACACCTCAAATCCACAGGCTCCTGGGAATGGCTGAGCTGAAGGAGAGAGGCCAGGAGGGTGGCAACCACTGGTCACAGCACAGGGCACCAGCTTTCCCTGTCCTAGAACCTCCTGGGCCCAGCAGCTGCTCCCTGTGAAGGGCACTTGACCCATCTCCTCCGGGATTAACACACAGGGCCCCTGTGTGCGGGAGTCTGGATGGGATGGTCTGGTCCCAGGGGTGCGAACTCCCGGATGCCTAGCAGCTTAGGGCCCAGGCTCTCCTGAGCTTTTGTGCTCTCAGAAAACCTCGGCGCCACCCTCGCCTTACACCCTCCCCAGTAACTGGAGGATCATTCGCTGCCCCTGGCCCTGCTGGCTTTCAGAGCCCGTAGTATTGCCTCAGGTATTTTCAGACTCGGAGTTTCCATTTGCCACACTTTCCAACCACCCCTACCCCTCCACCAACTCCAGGGTCCTGGGTGGCCACCACGGAATTGCTCTGGGGTTTCGGAGACCCCCGTTTGGAGAGGAGCAGCAGTGTATGGCGGCGGCGGGTAACTTAAGTCAACCAGCAAGCCCAGGAGAAGCCGCGGGAATGTCTTTATTAGACTTTGGGAAAGGCATATTGGGGTTTTCAAAGGGGGAAAGACTAGCTCGACCCGAACGACCCCAGTGGGCAACGGCAGGCCGCAGCGGGCTGGGCGCATGAACCCGGGTTGCGCTGGGGGTCGGGTTCCTGGGCGAGGACAGCCGAACTCCCGCCGCGGGCTGCTGCTGTTGTGCGGCATTGCTGCCCGAACGAACAAACGAACGAATGAAGCGGTTTCGTTTAAGACAAATACCCTCTTGACGCGAAGTGACGGCCCCCAGTCCAGGGCCGCGCAAAGGGGCCAGCACTTCCGCTGGTGCTGGGGCCCCCATTCCCGGGCGCTGCCTGAGCCCCGAGCCGGGCTCTCGCTTGCCTTTGCTCTCCGAGCCCCAGCGTCCCGCACCGCGCAAGGGACTGTGAAGGACTCTAGGGTCGTGCCCGTCGCGGGCTGGGACCTGCGCGCCCCTGAGGCTGCTGCCCTCTTGGGGTGCTTAGAACTGAAGGTGCAAGGGGAATTCCTCGCTTAGGTGAGGAGGTCACTCGCTCCGGGTGACGGCGGCCCCGCACCAGTGGTGGGAACGCGCTCCTTCGGCTGCCTCGAGGGTGCCTGACCCCCAA